GAAAACAAGGTATTTCAAACAGAAAAAGCAGAGCATGGGCACCAAAAAAATGCTTTAACGAAAATATTAATAGAGCACGAGATCAGTGCTCTCTTTAGTTTATTTCATCCCTTTTTATTGAGGTCGCTACCCATTTGGATTTGGGTGCCAAAAGGGATCAAAATGCAGACCAATGGAAGAAATTAAAGGCAATCCCTTTGATTCTTCAATTCTAATTTTTACAATTTTTCCATGGATCACTCCCTCTTCAAGTCTGTGAAGCCTCTTGTACCCCACTGTGGTTCCATTTGCTACTCTTTTACCATCCACATAAATGTCATGCCTTTTGATCCTCTGACCAAGCCCAATTGCCTCTTGAATCCTAATCACATTGAATCTCAGCCCTCCGTCTGTGCCTGTACCTCTGATTTCAATCCAATGGCCCTCTTTGTCATCATCCCTTGGAGCCCAGTACGTCCACAAATGGTCACTGTCTAGCACATTTTCGGGTCCAAAGCCTCCTCCTTTGCCTCCTCTTTGGCTGCTAACTTTGACAGAACACTTGTCTGCTAAATTGGTAGAAAATATTGTATCAATTGCCCTTCTAAATTCTCTCAGTCTTTGAACATCTACTTCTGATATAAGCCCGGTTGAGTTAGGAGGCACATTGAGTAGCAGCACACAATTTCGTCCCACTGAGTTGTAGTAAATTTCAAGTAGCTGGCTTAGCCTCTTAGGTGTTTGTGATTTATGCCAAAACCATCCTTGTCTGATCGAAACGTCGCACTCTGCCGGCAACCAATCTGTCCCTTTTGGATCGCCATTGTTGAGATAACTGCATTCAATTACAAGATATCGATTAGATGGTGGTTAAGATGTCATTTTCCTACATTAACATCAAGTCATCGACTAGTGCTCATGTTGCACATGTTAAGCTAAATCAGCCACAGCTTTCAATTAATCATTACCAAAATGACGGAAAATTAGCATGGTTTAATTAATTATATACAGAAAAAGTACCTTGAATTTGATTAACAAAGAGAAGAAAAATGAACTTGCTTGAACTAGAAAAACAAGAACTGAAGTTTGGCTTGCACACAGTACAAACCAGATATAGCA